AATAGTGTTTTGCAGCTGAGACTCTGCTCTATCAAGAGGTTGTTGTGCTCTCTGTATCTGTAATAGTCTCAATGGAAGAAAACAGGAGGCATTACTTTTGGAGTGACCTATGTACATGGATTCACACAAGTAAAGCTAACTGCACACTGCTTATGGTGAGCTAACAAATCGCCACACTGACATTATAGTTAAATGACATCTGAAATATAATCCAAGCAAGACACTGACACACAATTTCCACCCTCCCCCATTTTTTTTCCCTCTGTGATGCAGTATCCATATAACACCCAAACATTTTATCATTTTATTTTACTAAGATTGCTGCCATTGAAAATCATTTACTCATAGTAGATGAAATCTGGGCTGGATGACCTTTAAAGGTCCCTTCTAACCCAAATTATTTTATGATTTTATGAAATCTGTACAAGATACAGAAAATAGCAGTTGCTCCGAAAAATCTTGATATTTTTAATGACTTGCTATTTTTAATGACAGTTTCATACAGACATGGTACATTTGCATATTAAAGCACTTATTTCTTTTTATACATCTATTTGGAAAATGTGATCTGAAACATATGTCCTAAAAAAACAAAAATACTGGGTTCTCCTCCCTAAGTTTAAGAATAAAGACTTATCTCTGCTCCCACTCAATTAATTGAGAATTGTCTCTTCTTTCTAAGCTATTTCTTTATACTTCTCTTAGAATTTATAATGGAAAGATTTGTATTATGGCTCTCTTTCCTGAAACTTGTGTTTTAAATTCTTTTTTCTCTACCGAAGAGCGACCTCTGCAGTCAGTCTGCAGAACTCTCTACACTGGACATTAATCTCCTCTTATTCAGCGTCACAGATATGGAGGTTGGGAGAGGAGCATGGAAAGGAGTGAAAAAAAATCATGAAAAGAAAGAACAAAAAGATCAACCTCTCAGAATTCTCATACTGAGCATCGAAAATGTCATCAGTTTCACCCCATGCCCCTCTTTCCTTTGCTACAGAATGAAAAATGGTTTCAAGATTTCGTGGACAGAAACAGATAAAAGCCACCACTACCACGAAGGGAATCATACCACCATGCCTTCTGCTGCAGCACTGAAAGAAACCTAATGCTCAGTTATGATGATCCTGTCCAACAGCTCTGAATCTGTGAAAAAGGATTCTGAACTCACTGCAGATCACAAGCTGCATCAACAATAGGGCGCTGCTGCCCTCCTTAGTGCACTAACTGCACAAGTAGGTACTGTTCTTTTTTCTTCCTGTTGTAGAAGTGAGGCATCAGATTGCATGGTGTGTTCAGTTTCATCTACTTTACTTTTAATGCAGACAAACAAAGAGAGTTCAGGCAGCAGCATGAAGTTACAGAAAAGTGAAGAGAACATGGCATTTAAAAAATTGAAAAAATGAATAAAAAAAGAATAAAAGAGATGATCAAGGGCATACAGTTCATATTCTGACATACATAGGAAACTGTTAGAAAAGAGACTGGTATTTCATGGTCAGTTCATATGCTGAAAGACAGCAAAGAGACTAATTTGGTGTAAGGGAGATTTAAGAGTCAATATTTGTACCTAGAAAGAAAGGAAATCTTTCCAGCTATACAGATTATTTGCTCCAGTAGAGACTGTGACAGAAAATTACAGAATCTCTGCCATCAGGAAATGCAGAAGAACAGTTAAGAAGTATCTGTTGGATAAGGCTCAAGCACAATTCATCTCAGAATCAATCTGAATTTGTTCTGCAATCTGTCATTTACACTCAAAGTTAAAAAGGACAAACACAGGTAGTGAAAACAAAGACTCCCTTTACACTTGCCACCTTCTTCACTTTACTGAGAACACTGCAAGAAAGTAGGTTAACACAGCCAGCCTCCAGCACACTAAGGACAGCCAGCACACGTATTTTTATATCCAGCCCATCATCTCTATCCTGCCATCTGTACAATGTTTGCAATACTCAAGGCCCAATTGTTATACACTGCACCCAAAAGAGCCACATCCACCTACATCTGTACCTAGAGAAATTATCACCAAAAGAATTTCTGCAGTGATGAGGAGCAAAATGCAAATCTGGCAATGCTGAGTGCTATCCCATTTAGTACATCCTTACACTTCTTTATCAAAGCAGGGAATACAGCACCACAGGAGATCACACAGTCCTACTTTCCCATACAGTTTCTCCCTTCCATCCACTGGAAATGGACTGCTTTCAGTGTTCAAGAAGTTCAGCCACTCCCAATGTGTTCCACATGAAATACGGAAGTGCTGTCAAACAGCACCAAACAAAAGTCTGCTTAACAAGCTAAAGGTTTGGCAAATAAACTGTGATCTATTAATGAGTCTTATTAAATATTTTAAAATTATTACGTATTTATTTTGTGACTTGAAAAATAAGAGAAATTTCTTCCTTGCCCTCAAATTAGTACCTAGTTTCATAAATACCATAATTTCAGACTGCATGATTAAATGAACTACCAGTAACAAAAAGAAAAAACATACCATCATGACCACAGTAAAAATAAAAAACAACATATATACTGGCATTCATTGCCTACAATTTATTGTTGGCTTGTTGATAATACTTCATAGGTGAAATCTGAGAAGTTTCTGTACAAAACAAAACATATTAAGAAAAAAAAAATAGAACACATTCCAAAAGGACACATCTATACTTAAAATTTGGAAATTATGTTTATACATATACATAGGTGGTAGCTTCACTTTCAAAAGTTCTGAGTGTCATCCATACAAACAAAATTCTACCAGAGATGTACTGAAATATAACTGACATAAATGGTCAGATTGACATTTATGAGTTTTAGCATGGACAACACACTGACCTCAACAGGACCAGAAATGTAGGCAACAGCTTCTGTGTAAGATTTAAGTTTCTATTTACAACTTAAGAGAAACTGCCAAGGCATTAATAATGTGTTAAAAATGTCCTTCTACCTACTGATCTTCAAAACAAATAAATGCATTTCCAGTAAGAGTATACACCATACATTCCAGCTATCTTATGTCTCCATATACTCCGCAACATCTCATGCAAACCCAATTTTCTCAAGAATACACACACAATTTTATTTCTATTCACTCAGTTGCAGGACAGTTTGGCAGTACTGCCAAAAATACCAGCATTGGGCTAGAATTCTTCATGCAGCCGTCTGCCTCAGGCTTTTCTTTTTAATTTACTTAGTTATTTTTTTGAAAAATGAGTTAACTTTTCCCATGCATTCACAAGTAACATCTCAGTTGTACCATGAGGCTGTTATTTCTCTTCCTGCTTTTACCTCACTCACTCTACAGCTTTTATAAATAATAGATAAACACTGCAAAAAAACACCTTGTCTGTATACAGAGAGTATGGGATTATGATACTTATAAGCAGACCTGGTCTCTAATTTGTGTGCTTGAATTTGTAGCCTGGAAATCTAAAATGCTATATGAATAAGTAATTTAGGATAATTTATTAAACGTGTATCAATTCTACAATCTGCTCCCCCAACAATCCATAATTAGATATTTACGAAACAACAACTGAATCTTCCTTCTTAGAACAGAGCGCTTGGAAGTGCTCTCTCTCTCACAGTTGAACAACCATTTGAGAAACAATCCCTAGCCATTACCTGTAGCAGTTTCCCAAACAAGCATCCTGCAAGTAGCGTTTTACTTTTGCCTTTCTCTTACTAAAATCTGTAAAGGACAAGGTTTGGATCAAATTACCATGGAAAATAAGTATTTCAAATGTAATTCTGTCACAGTAGAAAGGAGTTTACATACTAATGAATGTGCATTAGAAAGAGCTATTTTTTCTTGTTTTGGTGTTGAGGCTTTTTTTTTCCTTTGTTGTTATTTTTGTGGGTGAGGAGAGAGAGAGAAAAAAATCTAATACAGCAAAACAAAATGTCTGCTTTTATGAACCAAAAAACTGATGGCAGGAAGAAAGCACATATCACTATCAGCCAACTGAAACATTTGCCAGCATGCTTTAATGCTGTAGCAAACGTCACAAATGAGACCAGAAAACACAAGACAAACCTGTTTGCAGCCATCCATTTACAATGACAAATCTCTTTCACCTTGAGGTCAGTCATATCTTTTGTTGATAACCAGTCTATTATCCTCGAACCTAGACACTCTAAAGGCGTTCTGACTCTAAAGCAACATGTTTAGTCTTGGAATTAACAACAAAAGCTTTTGGTGTTCTCCAAAAGAAAATTCACCAATATTTTTGTAATTACAATCTAAAATAAAATAAAATGATGCCCAGAAAAAAAAATTCTTTTCGCTCAGTGTCACGTGTAGGCAATGCATAAAGATGTCTTATTCATGATTTACAAAGTGAAATTTTTTAAAACTTGAACACAGTTTTTAAAGTCTTGAAAGATTAAAACAAATTCTTAAGTTGATTATTTTTAAAGAAATCTTTTATTAAAAGACAACTGTAAAGAAACAACAACACTAGAGCAGTTCTTCCAACTTCCACAAATCATGGCTAAAACAAGAGCGTCTAGTTGTGGTATGAAACATCATACCACATCAATACAATTCTATAGAACCACAGAATTTTTCTGAGTTGGAAGGAACTTTTAAAGGTCACCCAGTTCAATTCCCCTGCAATAAAAAGAGATATCTACAGCTTGATCAGATGTTCAGAGCCGGGTCCAGCCTTGCCTTGAGCATCTCCAAGGACAGGGCATTTACGAGCTCTCTGGGCAACCTGCTCCAGTACCCCACCACCTTTACTGTAGAGAACTTCTTCCTTATGTCCAATCTAAATCATCCCTCTTTTAGTTTGAAACCTTTTCCTTTTGTCTAATCATAATGAATCCTATTAAAGAGTCTGTTCACTTCCTTCTTGCAGTTCCTCTTTAGACAATGAAAAGCCTTCCCAGAGCCTTCTCTTCTCCATGCTGCACAGCCCCAGCTCTCAGCCAATCCAATAGGAGATGTGTTCCATCCCTGGGACCATTTCTGTGGCCCTCCTCTGGACATCCTCCAACAGGTCCGTGTCTCTCCTGTACTGAGGACTCCACATCTGGATGCAGTGCTCCAGGTGAGGTCTCACCAGCACACTGCAGAGGGAAAGAATCACCTCCCTGACCCCCTGGCCACTGTTTTTAATGCAGCCCATGGTACGGTTGGCTTTCTGGGCTGTGAGGGTACACTCCTGGCTCATATCCAGCTTGCCATCCACCAATACCTCAAAGTCCTTTTTGGCAGTGGTGTTCTCCACCATTACATTCACCAGCTTGCACTGATAGCAGAGACTGCCATGACCTTGGTTCTTGAGTTCTCATGAGGTTCACCTGGGCCCACCAGTCAAGCCAGTTGCTATCTCTCTGGACAGCAGCCTGTCCTTCAGGAACATCAACCACACCACACAGTTCGGCATCATCTGCAAATTTGCTAAGGGTGCAAGTTGACACTGTGTAATTCTTCCTCAAGTAACATACAAACTTTGAAATTGATTAATTAAAATAAAACCTTAAAAAGTGGTTACTTCCCTGTAATCAGACTTGGAGTTCTTTCCAGCAACATCAAGCGATGAAGTCAATTAAAATAAGCAGTTGCATCTAATTCTGTGGCAGAAAGATGAAATTACATCACTGATAGTAGCAGCAATTGAATGGCAGACAGTAATCATGACACTAATGTTACAGCACATTTCAGAACCAGTAAGAAACGTATAACTAGAGGAATTTCAATAATTTAGCGAGCAACCTGGAAGACAGTCTTTTCTTCTGTCAGCCTTTACAAGCAGGATGTTTATATAGGAATGTTTAACAGTGTCTACAAGTGCCAAGTGTTTAAATACCTTAAGAACTAATGAAAACTTGAACCATATGGTCAACCCAGAATGCATACACAAAATACACCTATAATACATATAAAAAAAAATTAATACACTGCTGCTAGACTGACTTTTATTAACTCTTTTTGTGTAAGTACTTTCTATCTGCATATTGAACTTATAGTATACAAAACTTAGATGAATTTAAAACCTATGTAACTACAGTAACCTACCTGTAAGGAACAAGCCTCTACCAGGATATTTCAGCAATTACACTGAAATGCATTTCTCTTTGTCAAATACTTAAGGAAACAATGTATGAATTATCAGCTAAGCATGACGACTGGAAAGCAAGACCAAGGCTGATATGTATTAACAGATCTGTCAAACAAGGAATGAAATTTAATTACACGCTTTTTTGGGTGGATTTTTATTAATACAGTTATGATGGTCAATATTTTAAACGTTAGGTTCTTAAGTCTGTGTAGCACAAGACAGAAACGTAAGTTCCCCCAGCTACATAAAGAGTGACAGCACTTACATATGCTTTCTAACAGTAATTTAACTCATGTAAAAACACAGTTGGCCTCCTCTTCTGAGTTTTAACAGTATAACTTTCCAATAACAGTAAGTCTAGGAAGTTATTTGTGTTCTGTAATCCCAAGCTCTCAGGGGAATAAAAATAGTTTTCACATTTATTAAAACTCCAAAATAAGCTTCCAAATTTTGCAAGCTACCTATTGAGTCGAATTCTTCCTAAGAGTATGGGGTTTGAGTAGAAATAAAAGGTCTTGTAGCAGTGTCACATCCATTTCCAGCTTACTAATGACACAGCCTTTCCTTTACGCGCTCACATTTTTAACTCTTTTACTCTCTTTTTTTTTTTTCTAAATACAACTTCCAAGATATCTTCTTTTATTTTCCACAGAGAATCATCATAGAATCACAGTACAGCTTGAGTTCCAGCCCCCCCTTAGATAAGGCTGCCCACGGCCTCACCCAGCTTGGCCTTGAACATCTCCAGGGATGAAGCATCTTCAGCTTCTCTGGGCAGCTGTGCCAGCGCCTCACCGCCCTCGGAGTAAAGAATTTTTTCCAAACAGCAAGCCTAAATTTCCCCTCATTTACTTTAAAACAACTGCCCTTTCTCCTGTCATATCTCCCTACATAAAACGTGAGTCTCCCTCATGCTTACAAGCTCCCTTCAAGTACTGTAAGGCTGCAATGCAATCTCCCCAGAACCTTTTCTTCTCCGCAGTAAAAAAGCTGAGCTCCCTCAACCTTTCTTCATGAAAGGTCCCTTCAGCCCTTTGATCATCTTCATGGTCTCCTCAGGACCTGATGCAACAGCTCCACATCCCTCTTGTGCTGAAGACCCCAAGTGTGGATGCCATACACCAGATGAGCCTCACAAGGGCAAAGCAGAAAGGACAATCACCTCTCCCACCCTGCTGGCCACCCCTCTCTGGTTGCAGACAAGGATACAGTCAGCCTTCTGAGCTGCAAGCACACACTGCTGTCTCTTGTCTTTCATCCACCAGAAACCCAAATCCCTTTCTGCAGAGCTGCTCTCAAGGATTTCTTCTCCTAGTCTGTAAACATACCTGGGATTGCCCCAACCCAAGAGCAACACCTCGCACTTGGCCTTCTTGGTTCTTGTGGTCCCACTTTTTGAGACTGTCAAGGCCCCTCTGATGATGACACAGGTTTTTGTCTTTTCTGTCAAAAGCATCACTCAGTTTGGTACGATCTGCAAACTTGCTGGGAGTGCACTGAATCTCACTGTCTAGGTCATTGATAAAGATGCTGGTAAGTACCAGTCCCGAGACTGACTGGGGGATACAACTTGTCACAGGCCTCCACCTGGACATAGAACCATGAACCACAACATTCTGGTTGCAACCATCCAAATACTTCATTATCCACTGTACAGTCCTGTCTTCACATCCCTGTCTCTCAAATACAGAGATGAAGATGTGGTGTGATATCATGCCAAAGACCATACTCAAGCTCAGGCAGATGACATCTGAGCAATATCCCTGTAGAAATGTACAAGCTCTCAACCTATTCATGACTTCCAAGAGGAGCCCTCCCAAAATTCCCTGGGAAAAATCTGAGGTTTTCCCCCACCGCTTCCTGAAGTGGCTTTTCTCTGTCACTCAGTGGTACACCTCCTTCCCCCATCAAATCTAGTTTAAAGCTCTGATATTGAATCCAGACAGCCTGCTGCTTTGTATGTTCTTTCCCCTTCTGGTCAGGAGGGGATCCATCTGATGCCAACATGGTCCCTCAAAGGTGCAGCCAAGATCACAGTACCCAAAACCTCTAGCGATTCTTCTGAGTTTCATCTTACAATCTAGATGACATTTGCCAGATGTTACTGTATTAAAAAGAGATAATGAGTTAGCTCTGTTTTTTACTGTAAATAACGGTAACTGGCAAACGAGGTGAATTAAGCTTTCCTTGTCCAAGCATAAATAAATAACAATAAAAAATAATCACCTTCAAGCACATCACAACAAAGAGGAAATTGATCTTTTAAAATTAATTTAAGAGATCTTGGGGTGCTTAAGTCTAGTGTCACCCCCGTCTTAAAAAAGGCAAAGCCAAGACATATCAAATTTCACACCCATAAGGGGGAAGGAAAAAAGAGCAACCTCACATTTACATACTTGTGCACCAACTCCCAGCACATTTGAAACACCCAAAAAATATCTGACTGTGCCTACAAAATACAGTGACAACTCATTAATAAGAATTCCACTTTTTACCTTGAGTTCTGTTCAGCACAGGAGTATCTCTGCAATGCAGGATCACCCTATTACTCAAATGCCTTTCTCAATCTGAAACCTACATACACAAAGGCATAATGACCTCTGCTTGGAGGAGGTCATTAAGGTGCGGCATAACAAGTTTATCAAAACCAGTACTTTCAGCCTAAGCCATATTATAGTTCTCTGTTTTTTTTATTAAATTAAATTTCAAGTTGAGCAGATTCCCAAATTCATCTATTGGCATTCAATTGCAGTGGCTAAAACAAACTTATCTGAAGATATGGCTGGCCTGGCTCACTCCCTGCTACTCCTGGGAGTGCTTTCACAAAAGAAGCATTACAATTGAAGGTTAAATTGAGCTTGAATATCCCAGAAGTTTATTTGGCATCACTGTAATGCCTTCCCCATTGTGCTCTGGGCCATGTCTCCCATGAGAAAATTTACAAGTTCATTTCTTTCATCTTCTCTCTCTTTGGATTGCATTTCGTAATTGCTAATGCTGCACTGAAGCATTGCACTCTGCCCTGAGTAGAAGAATTCTCAATACTGAAGTGCCATACTACACAGCTACTTAGAGACCTTCTGATGTGACAAGAAAAATGAATAATTGGTGGAGTATGGGGAACAGAAATAGATTGTATACATACATGTATACATATATATGTGTGTGTATACACACTATGTACATTTTTTCAATTTCTCTCTCAGAATTGTTGTTTTTAAACACTTCCCCCTAAAAGCAAAGTTCCCCAAAGTCCTTAAGCTCTGCATAATTGCATTTGCACCCCCTGATGGTATCAAGATTAAAATATAACTTTTAAAATAGCTTTTGTTATTAAAAAAATACATAACCTTGCATTACCTTTCATTTCAGAATATTAATGAGGGTTATGTGCAACTTTATCAGCAGTTTGTTTCTTCTATTAGATTATAAGTCACTAGCATTCTTATGCTGAATCACAGCAATCTTCTCCAATAAAAATATATCATTAAAAAATTAATTACATCAAATGAAGAAGCAATAAGTTTGAGCAGAGAGTAACAGTAAGCTTTATTTCCAGCGCTAAAAAATAAGAATTAGGAATACTGAGAAAGAACAGAGCACATTCTTTGTTTACTCTGGATAGGATCGATATAGCCTATAGAGGGAAAAGATATCTGCATGATCCTAAGAATTTCTACATCTTTTCCCTCTGCATAAAATTCAGTTCTAACAAAACTGGAGTCTTTTTATTTGGCACAACTTCTATTCCATTAGTTTCTGTCAAGTAATCACTGCAATGAGCGTTTCATAGATGCATCTATATTCTTCAAAGCAAATAAAGTATTTATTCTTCCCTGCTGCAGAGCATCACTCATTTTCAGCGGTGTCACTGAACACTAAGAAACAGAAGAAAATTATTTATAGCTATGTGTAATCAGCACGCTTTCACTCACATCCTTAACTGCAACTGGGAAAAAAGATACCCCATAACGTATTTCTGATCTGCACCACGACTTACTGAAATCATTATGGTGAAAAGCAAATGTTAACAAAAACATTTACAGAAACCTAGCTTGCACACAATTGAGCCTGTCACCTAGACAGAGCACTGTTCTGGGGGATGCTGCATTCTGAGCTCCAGGCTGCTATCAGCATGCTGTCCCTGCCCTGGGGCTGCCTGCACCAGGTCGTGGCGGGATGCTGCTTTGTGCCAGCAGGGCTCGGCAACCAGGCCTTCACACAGCAGCACTGGCTCCTGGGCAAAGAACAATAGACCCTCACAACAGCAGAGCCACAAGCCCTGCATTTAGCTGCTCCCTAGAGTGCTGCACACTTGCAGCTCCCAACTAATTGAGCTAAAAACACTGAGGGAGAGGCTGTCGTTTCTATTTTTAAATATAAAGGAGGCAGTCAGGTACTATCAAGATGAAGGCTAGCGAGATTGACGCAGACAGGATCTATGACTAACAATCATGTTTGGTAAGGAAGTCACTGCACGTCACTGTAGACTTTTTCCAGCAGCTCTGTAGGATATGTTTCTGCGCAAGAAAAGCAGGTTCCAGTATACCTCATTAAGATACTCTGTAATCCCAAGACTGGCCTATTAGGAAAGCAGAACTGGAATTTTTTCTACTCTCTTTGAAATTCTTTTTCATCATACAGAGGAAAACTTAGCATCTCATAAAAACTTTGCAAAATCCTTTACCTTTTTCTCACAGCATGCAGCAAGCACCAAACAGAACTCAGTGTAGTTCTTAGTTTATTTTTAGAATCCATAAATGAAGTATCACTGGGGTTCCCAATTACATGCCCAATGCATTTTTTAAAAGCAGGCCTAGACAGTAAGCTTGCACTTATGAGCACACACATTTTACATTCAGACAAGTTCAAGAGAAACACAGAGAAACAGCTGTGAACAGTTCCTTTGACACTGAAGAACTTCATTTTCTTCATTAGGCATTCACATCAAGTCATTTGTTGTTCTAATGGACAGATCCTACATACCAAAAATAGGCTGGATTTAGTTAGTCCAGGCTAACTTATACTGTAGAGGTAAGCTAAAGTTTTAGATCATGGAAATGAACACCTTAAAAATAGGGACTTCTGTAAGTCCTACTATACCAAACTGCATGGACACTAGTAATTAAGACTGAAAGGAGCAAGTCTACTGCAAAATACAGAGAGAGCCTTACTAGGTGAGCTTACAGTGTGGAATGAAATTATCAGGCTGGAATGAGATTAAGAAAAGGCATACTCACAAACCATTCCGAGAACTAATCACATAACAAAAACAGAACATAAAACTGGATCGCAGTAATGAAACTGGATGCTGGTTAAAAGCAAAACTGGTACCTCTATCAAGGCAGAAGAAGAACGTTGCAAGCACTGAATTGCCTTGAAATACTAAAGTGATAGCAGCGACAAAATGCGATCGCACAAAGTCAAGGTCAGGCACTCTGGAAACAGCAAGAAACAGCAAGAATTTCCATCAGCTGGAAATAACAAAGGAGGAGTATAACTTGGATGTATTAATCAATGAATACAAAGAATCAGATAAATGCAGTGTGAAAAAGGATGCTGCAATCTGTGGCTGTATCAAGGGAGGCATTTTCAGCAGAAATGAAACGAAAAACACATTAAAGCCATTTTACAAGGAACAGGTAAAATCTAAACTGGAATTCTGTGAACTTCACTGGTCATCTCTCTTCAAATAAAAAAAAAAAAAAAGAAAGAATTCAGATTGAAGCATATGCAGGGATAAGCTACTAGAACGACCAGGGAAGCAAAGAGGAGTTAGTACAAAGAGAATGCTAACAGAGACTGCCTAAATTAGCTTGGTAAAAAGTAGGCTGGGAGGTAATGAGAGTGCTCTCTATAAATAAATCAAGGATGTAGGATAGAGGAAGGAAGAAGCTAAAGCTATAGACACACAAAATGGATGTTCAGAAGCACAGTTAGAAACTGGAGCTACATCATCAGATTAACAAAACCCTGGAAACGTTTTCACCAGGTTAAGAAACCAGACAGAAACAAGACACATTTCTGTATGGTATTTCATAGTATTCCTATCTATAGAAAATGGGCACCGTTGCTGCAGGACAGAAGATCCTGGCAGTCCCCCTTTCTACAGACTTTTCCTTATCAATATTCCAGCTGAGATACCACCTTTACGACTGCCATTCCTTTTACATTTTCTCTTTTCTTATGCAGAAGCAGAAGTCTATGTGCAGGCACTTTCCTATAAAAACCTCTTCACTCTGATGTACTTCTCAGCTCAGGGACTCTCCCCAAAGCTAAAGCATTGATGTGTTCTGACATAACCACCAGTGTACTTAAATGTGTAAAAGCAGTTTTTGTCAGCCTTAAGAAAAGAGCTAGAATATTTTTAACATCTGCAATACATTGCAATACAGCAACACCAAACAGCAACTTTATAGCTCACACTGTGCTACGTAATTTACCAGTATGCCAGTTCTTTATTTCCTCCATCCTCACACTGTTATCTCCACAGCAAGCTGATAATAAACTAACATCTGTTCCATGCTGTGGTTTAGAGCTAACTAAATCAACTAGAAAACCACTCTAACCATGCTACTTAATATAAGCAAGGTCCTAGAATCCTGATCAACCTACACAATTGTTTCAACCATACGGAAACATAACTTTGTAACGTAATGTGGCATTAATCACAAACACAAAAACTGCATTTTACCAATATCAGTCTAAAAAGTTAATGCATATTAAAAATAAGGCTCCTATTTGAATTAAAAGGGTTGCTTGAAAGTAACTCCCAAAAAGAGCAAGTTTCCTTCAACTTGCTATGTTTTTTCACCACTAATCACCAAACAGTAGCGTAGCTCTACTGCTATCCATTTCATAGCTAAATCCTACCAATCTAATCTAAATACTAAATGTGCAATATTCAAATGGACCTACAGACACTAATCTAGCAGAACAGCTGTTATTTCCAAACACAGCAACAGTGAAATCCCAAATACTGTCTGTCCTGCCCAAAAGTTGCACATTTCTTAAGGAAGAGTACAACACTGTGAAAAGCCATATGCTATGAAAGATCCACAGCCAAAAATCCACAACACTGTAGCAATGGCCTTGCTCAGTAATAACCAGGCAGTATCAGGCATGATACTTACATTACTCCATTTAGACTATGAATGTGCATCATAGTAATAGGCATGCCCAAGCACCTCATATTCAGATCTCATGCAGTTCTTACACAGCATCTGTAGGAACACACAGACAAGCCCTGGTGAAAGCCAAACCTGGAATACTGGTTTAGAAGGCAAATTAGCATATGATTTTTTATTTTATGTGTGCACTGTGATAGAGATTAGACACTGAAGTCCAGTCTTAGCTTAAAACATGAACAGCATGGACCACTGATAAAACCATAAGCATCTTCCATAGCTACTACCCATGCCATACAAGAAAGGTCAGGGGGTGTGGGGGGCTGCTTTCTAGTCAGTATTGTAACAGTATAGACACATTCCATGTCTAATCCTGTGTTATCCCTAAACTTAAACTGTTCCAATTTCAACCACTGTTGGGGAATTTTCCTTCCAGCTTTCTAAGGCACATACTTGGAGATACCGTGCTAACATACTGCTCCTCATTATTTCTGTTAGCAGAAACTCATGATAGCTTTCATAAGAGGCAAATTTCATTTGGGCAGTTAATGCTTCTGTATGTTACTCCTCTTCCAGCTAGGTTCACCGCCCTTCAACAAAAATCAGTCACACTGTGGTCTCTGCATCACTGTACTCTCACTTCTAACAATAGAGCACATAATTCATTTTCAATAAAATCCTTCTAATATACAGTCCAGTCCTGATGCATGCATAAAGTAAAAACAAAAATAAGTAGAAGGGAAACCAGTGATCAGATAGAGAAAATCAACTGCAAATATCCAGTAGTGCAAGAGAGACTACAACGGTGTGCAGTGATTGCGAAGGGAATATGCATTTCTCTTCAAGCACTATGCTCCTGGAGATAAACAGAGAGAGCTGCTGCTCTTTCAGCATCAGGTATACTTAGAAGCCTCTCTGCGTGGCGAATATTGATTTAGAGGCATTCCTTATGTAATGGCCATCTGTAACGTTATAATTAGACCAAGCAGCATACGTGCTGGATTCTTTTTCAATTCTATGGGCAAACAGCCCTTCACATAGAGCTGGTGTATTAGGCGTCCTGAGCATTGACCTCTCTCTTTCAATCTGCAATTTGTCTTCTGAGGCTGAACAGCATTCTTTGTTTAAATGTATTTTAACCTTTTTTGAAGGACACAAGAGCCTCAGCACATAATGATGTTTTGACTGCTTTTCTAGAAATCACTCATTTAAAAAATTATATGATTATTTCATTTACTCAGTTCACTAATTAGCATTATTAAGGATTTTGTGATAACGAATAAGAAATAATGACAATTTGAATAAGCATGTTTCTCTAAAAAAATTGACACCCCAAAATTACCTTTAAAAATAATCTCTAAAAACTAACTATCAATTTTCTTTTTCACCACAATTTTTCCCGCTGCTGACCTGGGAAAGATATTCTTGTTGATGTGGAGACCATGTATAATTTTCCCAGTAGGGCTTTCTCATTAGCTTTGAAACAGATGAGGAAAGGAGTTTTTATTTTAATGGCACAGTCTTTTAAAAAAGAAGAAAATTTAGGAAAATAGATAAGACAATACAGCAAACTTCTAAATCAAAAGTGACATTGAAAGTGTCACAGTCTTTTGTCCAACTCTTAAATTCTAAGAAAATATGAAGAACTTGTGGCAAACGACACAAATCATAAAGGCACTGCTACAGGAAAATACATTTTGCTTTAATTAGAATTTACAGAAGAACAACCAGAAATTTAAAAACTGACATTATCCGGGTGCCCTATGCTGTGGAAATCAAAGTTGGCACTTACAGTCAGTTAAATCAGAGCATGGATCTGCAGAGCGCCAGAACTGAGCTCCACCATCCATAGCATGCTCCATTTGCCTCAATTTCTCAATAACTTGAGGCTTCAGTAACACAATTACAGGACAGCTTTATCTGATCACAGTAACCATTAACATTGTCTGAAGTCACTAATACCCAACAGCTTTAGCAGGGATGTAAAGTACAGTCTTAGTCTAGTTCCCTAAGAGTAGATGTCCACACCCTAAGATGACCACTACAACCAACACCATCTGACAGACTGTCAATCACAGGTTCTATTTTCTTAAGTCATTTGTCATGCCCTGAATCCAGATTTGAAGCAGGCCATCACAAAGCTGTGATAAATTATCTGCAGTATGCATTTCCACTGCAAGGTTCCTGCCTTTCCATAGTCCCTGATCCTGTAGCATCTCATATATACACTATTTCAGTACTCAGCTTAAGAAATTACTGTCAGATAAGACTATGGTGGAAGTAGAATACAATAGTGTGTAACAAGGAGAAGGAACATACAGCAAGGTGCCACATTCTCTCAGTATTCTACCTTGCCTTTTAATAACCTTAGCATACACATGCTCGGTTCTCTGTGCGACAAACACGGCTATCCATGATTAAGCACAAGTCTCAAGTACTGCAAATGTCACAGCTCAGTTTTTAGCTTGAACCAAAACATTTATTAACGCTACTCTTCCTTCGCACTACTCCTCTTTCTTGGGATGGAAAAGAGTAGGAAGAAAACTCATCCCAGAAGCAGGAATGCTGCAGCAAAGAGCACAGTCTAAAAGCACACAAAGTGACAGCACAGAAGAACCTTGCACCAGAAAAGTAACCTCACTGTATGAGGCACTGGGCTAGACAGCATGGTACATCAGCCAAGGACTAGCCCTCTGGCGTAAAGACTTACACAGTGCTTCCAAGATAGCATGGAACAATGCTGTGGTGCAATGGTGAACAGAACAATGGAAAATTGAACAATATAGGATATATATGTATATATCTATATAGATTATACAGGAGATGCAAAGAACAGTGGTGTACAGAACAACAGAACAATGCAATGGTGTGTTGCAAACGGCATCCAGACTCCAGTAATCCTACACAACTCCTGACAGAGATGACAGCTAGTTGCTAACAAGTAGCTCAGTACAAGAGCACGATACAAAGAAAAATACTGAACAGTTATATTCAGTGACATTTCCTACCAACAAAAAGAGAATTGACAGGAAGCTAACCGAGAATAAAATCCAGAATAACAATATTAGAATACCAAAGTTACAATCAGTGTTGTGCTGAACACTGTATTTTCTTGCTATTTGAGAGAAATATTTCATTCACTGCTATCAAGAGTATCGTGGAAGTCAAAGATGCAATCTTAAAAAATACACAAGGAACAACCTGCAAAATTGCACTCTTCTTTCATTATTGAGCTTATGTAAACGTTTTTATTATATTACTTTTGGTGCAAAACTTTACAAAGTTTTCTGTCTTACATATTGTGAAAACTTAAAAGCAACGAGAAAACTTCAATGGGTACAAAATATAGCTGTGTTCTTTTAAACAGAGTTCTGAAATTAATTAAGTTGAAATACTGTAGAACATGCTAAAATAGAAAACAGCTAATGATCCTATAACTCTACTTCAGCTGCACATACTGTAGAAGAGTGATTTTTTTCATACAGAAACCAATGCTTAGGGGCATTTAGAAAATTGCTAAAGTAATTGGAAGAAGTAAGTATGAAACAAATGTATGCATTTGCAAAAGGTGCACATTGAGATAAGAAGCTTAGGTGTGTTGATAAACCTGACTGAAGGCAGCTCTGCTTCATGCACTGCTTTTTTCAGGAGTCAGTTTAACTTTCTGTTATGCTTTGATTAGAAACTGATTTTTAATTGTACTGAAAATATTTTGAACAGGAACATTTTAAATGCACTATTGTCTCTTTCATGTTTCTAGTGGTGCTGGATGACAAAGTTAATTTTCTAACATTTTACCACCTGTAGGACAGAGAAAGCAGTGGCTCAAACAAGGAAGAAACATCTGAAGCAGGCATTCAGAATATGGAAGAGCATTATCTGCTGCCCAAATGTGCAAGTGTGAATATGAGCTCTTCAGAACAAAACTGCTCCCAAAACTGCAAAGAAGCTGCACTGAGATAAACAGATTTTAAATGCAATTTTCTTTATGTATACGTAGGTCACTCCAAAAGTAATACCTCCTACTTATTTCCATGGAAACTACAAAAAGAGCACAATAACACCACTTGATAGAGCAAATTCTCAGGTATGAAACACTATTTTTCAACACAGTCATCGCCATTAGCTGTGCACTTTTGCCAGGGATGAACAAGAGCCTGCATGTGCAAGTCATGAAAATCTGCACAGCCATCCAGCACATGGCTTGTCTTTCACATGGCACTCACCAATGCTGGAATGCAGCACCTATCACCACGCTGTGCTCACACATCCATTAGCTGGTTTCCATAAATGTTCAGCAAGCATCAATGAATGTCAATGGCTGTCATTTTTTTCCACAAGGAGCAATTGCATGACACACCACTACTTCATCTGCACTTCCATGTCAGACACCATTCTGTCAGACTGCCCCTTTGCTGCCATCTGTCACACAGCAACAACATGGAACAGAATACTGATGTGAAGGTTCAGCCTCTGCTGCCATACCACCAACATCCACCTCTGATGTCATCAGCCAACACATTAAAATAGGAGGCACTGCTTTCAGAGCAATCCCCTTTTTATTTTCAATGTGCAGCTCAAACTTGTAGTATCTTAGTCTCTCACATCTAAGACATAGCTTTACTCTCACCCATCTAAAACTACTAATACTTTATTTTTCAGTCATGGTTTAAGAGGGAGTTATTTTTCCAGTATCTCCAACATATTTTGACAGATTACAATGAAGATATTTCCCAGTGGAACAGGTACTCATGCATTGATTGCTTACATTTAAAAGACTTATGACCATTTTGGATTGGAAATGAAAGTAAAACAGATAGCTATATAAAACCATACTGGACTTGACAACATCTGAATACCATCCATCTAGGTTTTAGTAGTCTACTTCCAGATGTCACGATGCTCAAATCTTCATTTATTTTTTAATATACTTTATGAATGTACTCTAATACTCTTTTTTCTTATTTGAAGCAAATTAGCAATAACATGCAGCTAGAATCCCAAAACTGAAATCTCAATTTTTAGAAGTCAGAATGACTGAAATTCCATGTTTTTTTTTACCAACCATTTTCTTCATTCAATAAAAGGTTTACTCT